AAAAAAATACTATAGTTTCTTTAAGTTGGACTGATAGAATTACTAATGAAGAAGTTTTAGAAAGGGTATCTGAGGTAAAATTAATATGGAAGAGTATACAGAACAGGCGAAATGAATTAATAGATCATACTTTAAGACACGACGGGTTGCTATTATTAATCTTAGAAGGAATAATCGATGAAAAAAATCATAGAGGAAGTCAAAAATTGCAATACTTAAGTCAACTAATAGAAGATCAAGGATGTAATTCATATCAAGAGTTGAAGAGGAAGGCTAGTGATAGAGAAACATGGAAGTTGTTGCAAACCAATCATTAGAGTGAATACTACAGAAGAAGATGACATTTTTAATTTACTTGCATTTTCACACGTTAATTGAGAATGTGTAACACCAGTCATTTCAAAAGTGATTGATATTACCCCATTCATTTTGATCAGTATTTTCCTTTTGACAAGCAATCAGAAAATATTTTTAATCGATAAACCAATATACTATTAGGTAAATAATTTGAATATAGAATAATACTCATGTTTTGTTCTATACGTACATATATAAATTAAAAATATATAATATTATGCTTACCTTAAATTAAATTTCTTGAAAATTTTTTTTTAGATAAATAAACTTTGACAACTATTTTCACACATTTAAACGTGAAAACGTTTTTTGATAATATTGTTCTAATAAGATTTTGTTATCATTCTTAATCTATACATATGGTCAACATAATTTTAGATGCAAGGGTTTATTAGATAATGACGTGACCGGTATTACTCATTGACTATAGTTCCCCCAGTTTCCCCTACCACTAAAAAAAACCTCAGATTCTTTAAGTGTTTTAAGTAAAAAAATATAAAACTACTTTATTAATATTAACTATTGGCTATAATAATATGATTGCTACTTGTATCACCATGTAAACCGCTAGCATTGAATTAATACATTAAGGGTAATTATTTCTTCAATTTCCGTTAGAAAACTTGTATAAATCTTGTGGAAATCAAAAAAACTTATTTTATTATATTATAACCGTTTAAAGGGCTAACAACCATTAGAAATGGACATTAAACATAAATATAACAAAAACTCATTAGATAACTGTGTAGATTATGATAAGAAATTTTGTATCAGATGATGTGTAGACTAATAAAAGTCAAAAATCGCAGTCTATAAATTATGGTCGAAAATTGAGTACCTTCCTGATCAAAGTCGATCATGAACGTACAATATTATCTAATAATGCTGTATATGAAACTTCAATTGTATTCAATTCTGGTGACCAGTCTGGTAAAATTGACAATGATGATAATTGTGTCATATCTGAGTAAAATTAAAAAAAATTTTTTACAGAATTCCATTAGAAAATTATGAATGCTTTTTAGGTCATGGAGTTAAATTCATCCAATGTATCAAGACTTCTGCTTCCAACCGATTCACCGCGTCGATCATTTTTTTCGGCTATATGCCGTTGTTGCTTAAAATTACCTGCGCGTATCCGAAACATGAAAGAAATTCGCGCTCTAGCGTATGAACAATTTTGTTGTCTCTGCGCCTATTGGGTACGCTTTCGATCCATCTACTGAAGCAGTCAGTCAATAATAATAAATTCACTTTACTCGTGGGTGTTCTAGGGCCCATCAATTCTGTACTTCCCATAGCTGCTTGGTTGGCGGTTGACTATTAGGCGTCTGTTTAGGGGCTTAATTAAAGCACGCGTAAATATTACATGATTTCACGTACATACACACAACATTTTTTAGCCTCTTAAAATAGAACCGTTGTTTTACCGTTTGATAGGTCTCTCTCCATCCGGGAAAACATGCTAGGGAATCGTCGTGGTCATGCCAAACTACGCGTTGTAATTTGTTGGTGGGTATGACGATCAGTTTGTCACGCACCGATCGTTACGCAAAAGTCCGTATATTAAAAAAAACCTTTATTTATAATACACTTTTGCTCATCCGTAGTGGAAGGATGTATGTTTAATTTTTGTGTGATCGAAGAAAGAGACGGGTCGCTTATTTTGCCAGTTTTGTATTTCCCTCCTCGTAAACGGTCGCTCGTAGAACGCATCGTTTGTTTCGGCAACAGCATAAATATTGTCAAGAGTGATGGAGATTAGGAACGACTGTGTTGTGAGGGTACCCTTATAAAATTTTCATCGAGAACATTTTCTTCAATAGCGGACCCCAACGTCGAGTGGCGTGACAATACATCTGGCAATGCGTTGTGTTTGTCGGGCACGTGTGCTGTGGTTAAATTTAGGTTACCTAAGAAGAGTGCCAAACTGGTTAATTTACTGTTATTGCACTTCGATTTGTGTAAAGAAGTCAACACGACGTTGTCTGTATACAATTCAAAATGGGTCTAAAAATGACCTAAATTTGTCTATGGCTCATATGATCGCGTTTGACAGAGACGTAACGATTTCATGGTTTTAATATCTAAAATTATATAAGTTAAAATTAGATAAATATGTGAACATTTTCCACAAAATAGCATACTTTTAATTGAAACAAAAAAACGTTTTAAATAAATACATTGAACTTGAAATCCATACATTTTTATACAAGATAAATAATCAAATTTATAGGATGTTCAAAAAACTTTGGAAATTATTGTATTCTGGGACACCATTCCAATTTGATCGAATAACAGTAATTAAAAAAAAGTTAATATTAAAATAATTAATATTAAAATATACAAATATACAAATATGTTAGCCGACCATTCTAAATATATTTATATATATATTTAAGTGTTATATAATACAATTTTTAACGGTAATTATAAAGTCTCATTAAAAAACATTACCATACTATATTTTTAAATGTTCTTGTAAGCAATTCTTATTATAAACACAAGAATCGAAGAAAAAAATTATCAATATATTATAGGTAACATAATAATACAATTTACATATCCTGTAAAAGTTATTGGTAAAATAAAAATAAATAGCTGTAATTTTTTAACTGCCATTAAAAAAACAGAATAATATTTTTATACATATATTTTGACTAACATATCTATGATATAAAATAATAATGAACACATTTGCGTATAATCATTTTAAATCTTCTTTAATTCTCGGCTAGTTATAAATAATATTAATATTTTATTTTCAATGGAATTTTATTCGTTGATTTTTATGTCTATAGGCATTTTCGTTATAAAAGTAGATGAAGTAGTAAAATGCAATTGTAATTGTGTTAACAATTATCGCGATGATTATAAATATTACATCAAAACAGTAATTGGTCACATTCGTTCAAGTATTGGATCAAATGAAATGCTAAATCTAAAATTCAAAAAAGATTCAATTTGTACTATTAGAATAAAGGAAGCTTTCAAAACTGAAACAAACTACCAAAATTTCAAGAATAACTATTTTTATACAATAAGTCTACTAAATTTCAAGTATACTGAAATATTAAAACACTTTCTCGATTACATAGACATTATTCTCCAAAAATGTAAGCAATTTCATGAAAGAAACTTAAAAGAAAATTTTATTTCTTGTGTAACGTCACTTGTTGAAGAAGTGAAAAATTCTAAGACCATGTTTGAAAATCTCTACAATGCTATGGCATTTATAAGCTATATAGATGTCAGATTTTTGTTTAAAGGAGCAATTATGCCGAATGTTATAATTGATGAAATAAACTTTTTTCTAAAATACGTACTTCAAAAAATATTAGAAAACAGCCATTTAGATCTCAACAGTTTACCAAATATTGAAGACACTGAAATTAATTTTAAGAATTTAAATGAATTTCATGCAGTTGCATCAAAAATAGTTGACAATCTCTATCAAAATAGTAATGTTATTATCGAAACTTCTATAAAAACCAATTCGACATCAAATCAAATTAATGAAGATGACTCTTACCTAGTCTATTTAACATGTAGTAAACTTAAATCGTTTTATAATGAAAACATAGAAAACTGGTATAAAAATCTTGGCTTTGAACAATTTCTCGATCCCAAAATACCCGAGTAAGATTGCCTATATTTATATTTACTTTCTATTCTAATTTTATATTAGAAAATAAATAACTTAACATTTTTTTTGATAATATAAGACATTTACATTTAAAACTTACGTTAATTTTATGGTAATTTGTAAATATGCCAAAGCCACAAAATAAACTTAGTATGTTTGTTAATTTTTCTTAACATATTTATTTGTTTATTTATTTAATTTATATTAGAGTATTATTATAATATGAATATAGTAAATTTGTATTTTATAATATCATTTAAAATACTTGATTTTATGAAAAAACTTACATTTTAATAATATTCTGTAACAGCATTATTTTGAATCATGTATAGCGGCATTTTATAGAGTTTTTTAATGTAAGTTCATTTACATAAATACCCCATTTTGTGCATAACAAATATTGGGCGTAATCTTATACGTCTCAAATTTCCAAAATTGTTAGATATCTATGAATGAAATACTTTAAAAAAAATTGTTTTCCGAAATCCTTTGTTTTGCCTCAATATTTTAATACAAATATTCATTTTAATCATTTTTTTAAAAATTAAACTGAATGGAAATAATGCAATGTCTCATTAATTCTATTTTAATTTATTTAATCTGTGTATTTCATAAATAATTATAATATTTTTTTTTTACTATAGACTCATACCTCCAATTGATCCAAATATTAATATAAATATGGCAATTAAAGCTTTCAATATACTTCGACAGGAATCTGGTTGGAAAACAATGGAACATATAAATATAGTTTATAATGAAAAACTATTTAGCGTAGATTCTATAATGAAAGATCCAATAGATAAAATGAATTTTCAAATAAAAAAAGAATATGTAATACAATTATTAAGATGTAGATACACAGAAATAATTAAAAATTACCAAGTGTTATCAACTGTTATATTGTCACAGTGCAATACATATACGAATCGATTCAACTACAATTGTTTGATTAAATTCTTTGACTCGTTCAATAAATCTAAAATAATGTTTGAAGGTCTGCAATCAGCTTTAATTACTTTAAAAAAATCATTACTTTGGAATATTACTGCAATGTCTCATTCGAATTTACAAAAAATATTAAAATGGGTTGACGATTTTAATTGTTTATTGAATAACAATGAATTTTCTCAAGATAAATTTCTCGATCAAAAAGGTATTCAAATCACCGATATTATAAACAAAAAAGTTGTAGTTTTATTAAATTTTCGTAAACAATTTTATATTGATTTAAATAGTGAATTGGGTAACATGAACTCCCGTTGTAAAATGAAAGATAATTTTTTTGATAAGACCCAACTTGAAAATTATTTTAAGTATTTAGCAAGTAAAATGAGTACTTCATATTATGAACATTCAATCCAAATGTATCATATTGCATGTAATTATTTTGACGAGTTTTGTGAAAATGTTTACAAATCTTGTTATGAAAATTTAGGATTCAGAAAAGTTAATCGTCTCAACAAAACCTCTGATGAAATAATAATGGTGGATTAGATTGATTATTCTCCTACTTAGACTTTACTACATAATAAATGCTAAATATCAACCAGTTGCAATAAGTAAATTTCATAAAATTATTTCTACAGTAAATTTACTAGATCACTAGATTACTAGTTACATTTAATATATAAAAAAATATATATATTTTTTTTTTGTAAATTGCTGAATAAAATAATATTAAAAATATTTTGTTAATATATCTATTATTAGATATAAGTTTCAAAAAAATAATGTTGTATGGTTTATAACGTTATGAATTGCCATTTTTTCTTCGATTTAATAATATTAAAATAAAATATTGTAAAATATTTTTAACGTAAATTTTTTAAAAGTGTTAAAAAATTTAAGTTGTTTAACAATCTACTTATTTTTTTTTTTATTTACATGGTAGTTTTTACGAAAAGTTATATAGCAATTTGGGTTTTTTGTAACCCCATTGTTTTATAAAAAAAATTGCTTATTTTAAATTCATAAAAATAAATTATTTGAGGAATTTTGCAAATACTTAATAACAAATGAAAATTTATCTTGTTGCATGTATTATTTTAATAATTTTCTACAAAACGTTTACAATATTTTTAAGAGAAAATGGGTTTCAGGAGAGTTAACTGTCTCAATAGCGTAGATAATTTCTTCCATTTATACTGTTTCCACTCTTTCTACATACTCTGTAAACTTAAAGTAATGATTTCTAGGTTCCCAGGGGGGGGCATTCAATTCTTTACTTAGACGTTAAATTAACTTGATATAAATGACAGGTCGAGTGTTTTACTTGACACTCAAATAATAAACAAAGTCAATTTATTAGATTTTAAGAACATGATTCTATTACGCATATACAAATGAAAACACTTGCATATAGTAAGAACATTCAGTGGCATATTTTGAATGATTTTTTGGGTGGTGTCTAACTTTTAATGAACCTCACAAACGAAAATTATAGAAATGTTTACTGACGTAAAAAAAACTTACTATTTTTCTAATTACTATTTTAGGAATTGACAAATAATTTGAAATTTGAAAATTTGGTACTGTTGTATCATAAAAGAAACAACCCTAGTATCTTAACTTAAAGTAATAAAAGTTTAATAATAACTCAAATGTATTTATTATAGATATAATTAAACAATGCAAAACATACAAAATAAATATACACTAAAAACACAATGAAACAATACACAAAATGAAAACTTAATGTCATAAACGTACCGCGCGAAAAGAGATTACCTTCGGTGCTCTACGATTCATTCCATTTCGTCTTATATACTAAAATATTTTGTTTTTCTTCTTTTTGCAAAATTAATAATACTATCGTTTTCAAAAATGTTTATAAATATTTAATTCCTGGTCTAGTAATAATAGATCAGGAAATTACAATTAAACGAAACATTACAAAAATGTTTTACTTTCAGCTTTACAAATGATAAACTATATTACAGTATACAGACTGATTTTTTTATCATAACCCACTCATTTACTTGTAGAATAAATATAATTTAAACATTATTTTTGGTTTTCTTTAGTTACACATTATTCTTAAATTATTAACTATTTAAAACTTTTTATGTTCATCCCTTGTGCCTTGTAAGGGTGTCAACTTTGTCTTTTTGTCTTTTAAATGGGAACACATATTTTGAATATAATAAAATGTTTGGATTTTTAATTAAATAGTAAATGGCATTTGAATTTTTAATATAACTTTATTAGTTTATTAGATATAAACATTTAAAGTTTCAAATTTTTGAGTTAATATACATGTATAATACACATGATGATATGATTACAAATACAGGTAGCTAAATGGTTTATATGATATCAATGTCGCAGTCACAGAATGTTTATTATCAATTATAACTATCATAGATATACTTTCTGTATTGTCAGTTAGTGTATTTACAAACTCACAACAATGTGCCTTACTACCATTGATAATAACAATGCTGTGTACCTGCTAATTTCTTTGAAGTTGTTTTAAACAAAGTAACTCATAACTAAATACTTTATTTATAATAAGTAAACAAATAATAAAATCTCCTTTCAGTATTGATGTTCGTAAATTACTTGCTTTTGATGATGTTTCAGTGTCATTCCACTTCGAAATTATAAATAACGATTCAATTAGGTACACAAAAAGCTCAAGAAAATCATTGACAGCATAAAAACGTTCAACTCATTTAGTCGCACATAATTGTTTTAATGATTTTTTAGTTATACATTTTTGACTTTCTTCGATTTGACTTTTCAACACATCTTTTCGCTTTGGGTATATGAAAAAATCTCTAACTTTAGATGTTGTTCCTAATCAATTTCGTGTTTCTTGTATAGAAGATGAATAAGAAATAGCAAGGTTTAAAACATGAACAGCTCAATGAACAAACGTTGCAAGCGGATAACTTTGGTGAATAAGAGATTGAGCTCCGTTAAATTGACCAGACATAGAAACACATCCATCGTAACACTGTCCTCTAAGGTATTTTGTTTCTACACCAAATGAATGTAAACTTTGAATAATAATATATAAACCTTTTCCAGTAGTATCTGTTGTAGGCACAAACTGAAGAATTCTTCCTTGATAATCATATTTTCAACATCTAAATATCGAACACACAAAGTTACTTGTNACATATGATAATCTTAAATCGTATGAGGGTCCTTATCCAATGGTATTAAAAAATTTCTTAATTGAATGGGAGATGGACAAAAAAGGAAAAGCTTCTACATGGACATTACNTGTTACGATTTTATTTAAAATAATTTTATTACAGGATTCAATTATTTCATTTTGAAGTGTTTCACTTGTATATTTTATTGTTACTTCAGCTTCCAAAAATGATTTTAAACGGTCATTTCCTTGGGCTCTGTATTTTAATATTTTTCTAAAATTTCCTTGATTTTCTTGGATAATTTGTCATTTTCTTGATATATATTGAAGTTACAAAGATAGCCGTTATTGTCAAAAAAAAAAAATAATAATAATAATAATAACATTAAAAATGCAAATAATAATTAAACCTATAAGGTAGTTAAACCCTAAAGTTATTTTCGATTTGTTAAAGTCGTTAAAATTAATTCAAATCTCCTGTTATTTTCTTTTATCAGAATTATTATGTCATTAATTCAATTATTAATTAAATTGTTAAACTATATTATATATTCAACTTAATAAATTTTTATGTTGATTATANTAACTGAAATAATTTAATGTTCTTACATATACAAATATTATAATATACAGTTATGGATAGAATTAAGTTAAAAAGTCAGCCAATTATAAATTTTTAAATTAACAAGCGTATCTACTATCTTAACTTAATTTAAATTTTACTAAATGACGATTCATAAAGAATTTCATAACTTTTGTATATTTTTTAAATACTACTTTAATTATAAAAAATTCTTTTCTGTATTTTTTATGAATGCGGTATATTGAATAGGGGTAACTAAACTTATTTGTTTATAATTCTCTAAACTGATAAACTATAAAATAAATTTAAAAATGAACTACAAGTTCAGAATATTTCCGTTGTTATTATATTTTTGCTACGGGTATTTTTGTTATCTAAATGACCCAATGAAATCCAAATAATTTCTAAAAATCTCTGATAAAATGTAGATAAATACGTGTCGTCGAATCCTATCAAATTATCTTCAATTTTGTTATTTATTTAAAATACCATTTATTTTATAGTAAATAAATATAGTATATTATAAAAAAAGTTAATACCAATATATCAGGCATTTTTTTTAAGTCAGTGGTGTCCAGACATGGAGGACACCCCCCCAAAATACGCCACTGAGAACATTAACATAAAGAAAATAACATCACCCAGTCATCTGACACTTGCACCGCCGCGTGATATTGCAATCCTTTGAATGCTCCACAACAAATCCTTATCACGTTGACAATCACGCGTGTCACGATTATTTCTCAGGTGACAGTACACACTAACTGACCGAAAAATAGAGAAACATCACCGGCGTATGAACGTTTAGAATACCATTCCCAAATGAGAAGTGAATATTCAATAAAAATATACGTTTAGTTTTTCACTTATACAGGCCGACACAAAACCAATAAAAACTATGGCGGATCAATATGGTCACCAGTCATCAGACTCAACGGTACGACACAACTCCAAACACGTCATTACACGTACGTAAAGACATAGGTGGCCATAGTGCCGGACACAACTACTATGACTGTCGTAGGTCAAGCGGCGAGAGGGAGTGGGCGATGATAAGCTACATGGAGCTTGACGGGGCTACACACGTAACTTTTGAACATACCCACTTAATTTATTAAAATTTTAATAAGTCAATAACAATTTTAGGACGAGTATTTATTGAGCTACATACTTTTTAATACATAAAGTGGCTATGTAGAAAGAGTGAAAACAACTCTTACTAGGGTAATTCTAATGAAGTAATGTTTGTAGTGAACGAAGTGTATGCATACTCCACTTGCGCTTTATACCCACTCTATGTAACAAAAATTATGTTATTAAAATGCTTGTAAATCAATGAGTACTTGTCCTAATATTGTTAAGAACCTATCAACATTTTTTATAAGAAAAATGGCCATTTTGAAAAAAATATTATTTTTTCTTATTAGTGATAAATAATAGAAAAAATGCATTAGACGTAGTCAAAAAAGTAAAGAATATTTTTTAAAAAAATACCTATCAAAAATTATGAAGTTTTTGGCGTCATTCGTGTAAATTGATTAACTTCTACTGAACTGATTTTCATCAATGATACATAAATTGATCATAAATTTAGTTACAGTATTCAGTTGAGATTATCCGAGCGCAAGTATAGCACCTATTTGTTGACAACATATCATTTTAATAAACAAATAAAGCATTTTGATTTATAATTACTATATTTTTTTATGCATTCATAACAATAATGACTATAAATCGGATTCTACCGTAAACACCATTTGATGAGATACGTTGTTATTGATCTCTACAATAAAATTACATTTTATCTTCAAAAATATAAAGAATTTGTCTTTAATACAATATAATTATACATTACTTTGTTTGATTTTGTTATTGGATATTTCTAAATTATTCCCACACTATGGTTCTAGTCACTGGTATTATAAAATGAAATCAATAATAAATACATTTTAACATATCCTAATCTTAAAACTTTTGTGTTTTAATCGAATAAAAACAATTATATAATAATCAAAATAAGATAAAATATTAATAAATATAGAATAAGTTGGAATATGATCAATTGGTTTGTATAGAGGTTCTATTGCCGTAGAATTCAAGGGTTCGGAACAATAAAGACAAGCATAAATAAAAAAAAACAATGGTTCTATTTGTTAAGGTTTAAGATAAATAATTTAAATGCTCTTTTAACAAGACACGAAGTATTCTTGAAATAGCAGTAGCTTCCTCTCTGATATGTAGTCGAAGTGTTTACTGTAAGGTACAAACTGGTCAATAATAATTTAATTCAGAAATTTTATTTTATCTATTGCTTTATAGTTATTTACACAAATTTTTAATACCAATAATTTGAGATAATGTAAATTCACTTACTTTGTATTTCGCTGTGATCGATCTAGACTCGATAAATATTTCAGCGTCCAAGGATTTGAAACTCATATTTTATATATATGTACAGCATATATAATATGCACACATGTTTTAGATTCATATCTATTTCAATATATTTTTTTATAAAATATAAATTATTTAACAATAAAATATAATTAACAATACAAAAACAAAGACAAACAATAAAAATAACAATATTTTAAGTATAAAATTACAGCTTAAGGCCGAAGAAACTATATAATAAATAATACTTAAGCACTAATGTGATGAAAAAAAAAAATTGTTCATTTAAGTTTAACTATATTCGTCCAATTTTTTATTGATGATTTGCTGTTTAACATACAGTAATCGTTATTTGTCACAGATACAACTCTATATTCTCTATTATAAGGAAATCGTTTCCTTTAAAAATAAGTAAGTAAAAATTCTCTTGATAAATATCATAAAAATAATTTACGGTGCATTGAAACTGTATATTTTTGTGTTCAGTATTATTAAAACTAAAATAATGATGGATTTGTATTTTAAATCTAAATTTGTAAGCCATTTAAAAAACGCAAACGGTTGATTGGCTAAAATAAAATAAATCGTAATTTAAAATTAATATATATTTTGAATTCTCGTTGGTAAAAAAATTGTATCCAGAAATTATTTAGAATTTTTTTTTAACATATATTAGTATTGTTTGAATGATAAAAAAGAAATTTTTCTACTAAAATGAATTAAAAATCCATAAATATATGAGAAATACCTCCGACTTGTCATTTTACTAAATATTTAGCGATAATCTAAAAAAATATAATTTTATATTTTATTATTTATTTTTCACACAAAAATATATTTGAGAGTTAAAACCAGTGTTAAATTACTTAATTTTGTTTCATAACTTACTAAAACTTGGTTTTAATTAAAATCTTACGTAAAAATTGATCAGTAATGAATCAAAAAATCTTTACAATTAAAAAAATCATGAAATAGATTTTTTTAGTGTAGACAAGACTGCATCAGTTAATTCAAGTTCTATACAAATAGATCTTGGTTTATTATTTTGTTTACTAAATCGAATCACTGAAGAGAATAATAATAGTAAGATAATTAATATAATATATTAATATTATAGTATTTACATTGATTATAAAAATGTTGTAATAATAATTTAGAAAATACTATAGTTCAATATATTAATAGTTTTATAATTTATACATTATAGCAACTGCTTTAACATATTTCCATTTAAATCTATAGCGAAAATTGTCAGACCAATGTTTATATGCTGAATAGGAAGTATAAATATTCGTTTATTTGGTTTAAAAAATTCCCAAGAGTGGATGACACTACCATCATCATGCCTTAACTGAACAACTTTTAATCCAATATCTGATGTTATTAAATTTCTAAAAAATTTTAAATATTTATAATAAATAAAAATAACAGATAAAATTAATAACTATTAATTTTTTGTAAACCAAAAATTAATGTTGAAATAAAATACAAGAACAAACCTTTTTTTTACATAATTTGGAATATTTTCATTGATATTTTTTTCATTGAAAGTATTGAACCATCTAAAAAAATATTTTTCACTTATTTTTCTTATTAGAAAAGTTTTTGTTCAAAATTACTTGTGAACTGAAAGAATTGAAGCACATCCAATAGACCAACATACTGTTTTCGACTCATTATTTTTTATTGCATTACATAGTTTTGAAGAATTATTATTAGGTAAATCAATTTTATTATCATTCAAGTTATTTATACAATTTTCTTCAATGTATACAGCATATGTTTTCTTTTTAAATACATTTTCTTGAGCAATATTTTTACCATCTAATGTAAATGTTAAATGGACATTGTCAAATCCTCTACCCATTATACCATACTTGGAATGACCTAAATCAAATATGTGACCAATTTCATGCCATACTGAACCTAATGTAGTACTGAAGCATCCACCAAAATTTCCTCTATGGAAAATTAATTTTAATGAACTGAAAAAAAATTACAATACATGTATATAAAAACTTTAATAGTGTTACCTAAAACAACTATCATCTAGGAGTAAGCTGGTATTGACTTTTTTCATATTCATAAAACATGGTAAAATTTCTTCTAGTTCACTAGGCCAAGTATAAAGACATCCTGTACCAAATAAAGCTAATCCACCTCCTCCTAATGCAACATGTCCATGTAAATTTTTTCCATCCCAATAAGTACAAGACAAAAATGCCAAAAATTTTTTAACATAAGAATTATAGTTGGCAGTTATTTCACGAGCTATGTGCTCCCATAGTTTTTCTGGGTTCATTTTAAACACTGACTCTCTTATTAGTGAACTCTTAATTATTTGACAGTCATTTTCAATTTGGAATGTCTTTTTCCCAAAACCCTGTTCATCCATTTTCTCTGCAGTTAGCATTTGAATTAATTTTAGACCTAATACTATCTTTTTACATGCAACATGAACTGAGTTATCATGATCCTTTGGTGCCTAAAACATATCACAAATATGATTTTAATTTTAATTAAAACAATTTTTTTTTATTGTAGGATATTAATGTAAATAATACTAAAGTAAGCACGTTAAAGTAATTTTAGGGACATTCCAATAGATTGAAATCAAAGAATTAACAAGTTTGTAAGCAAATTTATTCAATATACATAGTTACTAAAAATAAAAATCACTAGCCCAGAATCTAATATCAGTTAATATATTTCATACTTTTGAATTTACTTCATTTAATTATTGAACTGAAACTAGAAGATCCCAGTAAATCTGATTTAAGCATTATTTTAACATGATAGTTTAAAATGTTTAATTTTTGTTTTCAATTAAAGGGAATAATCAGGTAAGTCAAACTTATTCAGAAAATATTTTCTTGTTGATTTTGAACAAATATGATTTTTTTTGGCATAATTCAATACAAATACAAGTTCTATATTCCTATTAACCGTGGAGATATTTAATTTAGAAACAAAATTTATCATTGCTTTTAATTAGCAAATTTTAAATTTCTCCTCATAAAAAATTTAAAAAATGGACTTATCTGGTTATTGTGACAGGCCCTTCAATTGTAGTTTCAATTAAATTACAATAGTACACAGCATTTAAATAATACAACAGTAATTTTAATACTAATTATTTAGTACTGCTTTAACATTAATACTATTTAGACAATATTCAAATAACTAGTAAATATACCTGAAATTTTCCATCATGATCGGAACAAATTACATAAATTGGTTGAACTGTAAATTTGGTTCTTCTTGGTTTAAATACTAATTTTGTTGTTAATATTGATTTTCCATATTTAAGAGTTATTAAATTATCCCCATGTTTTAATTCTAATATCACTTTAAAATTATTTTTAAATACAGTCCATAAGGACGTATTATTAGAAGCATTATAATTAAATGAATGTTCAATTAATAATTTAGAATCATTATCGACTACATTTCTTATAAATCCTTTAATTAGAATAGTGGAATATGAAAACAATTCATTATTGACAACATTTGTAAGTGATATATTACCATTTTCTTCATTCATTTTTTAGTCTAATTTCACAAAATAAGTTTTAGCTAAAAGTATTATTACTTATTATTAAATTTTTCTTTTAAAAATTCCATAATTTGACAAATACTATGATTTATAGTACCTAACAGTATCAAATATAACTTAAAAAATTTAAATAAAACATTAAAGACAGCTATCTGCAAATGTGATTTTTATGTTAATAATTTGTTATCTAGGGGATGATCAATAGTCTTATCATAGGGTATGTTTCTGTTATCAATAAAATCAAACACAATTTATCTTTTTAAACATATTTTCAATAAAAAAAAAATTATGTTTAAATTTTTTTGAACTCAACAAATTTTACTAAAAAATCTTTTTATACATCTACACAGTCATAAATTATTTACATTATCACACAAAATTTTTCGTTTATCGATTGTTGATTTATCTTAGATGCATCATTTTTTAATGTAGAATTTCTATTTGCTATATAATCTGGTAACGGATCATTCCAATTCTCAGGAGGACTAGTTCTAGTTTCCCAAATATCATTGGCATAAAATGTTTTCCATCTATTATTTCTTCTATTTTTTTCACTTTGAACAAGAGATTCCTAAAAATTACTTTGAGTTTATAATATAAATCAAAATATGAAAATAAAACAAATTACCGCTGCTTTAATATCTTTTTTTGATTTCCATTTATAACAATCTTGATAATCTTTATGCCATTGACTGCAATCAATAGTATTTCCAAATATAAATAGCTGATGTAATCTTGACATAATAGAAGTACATTCTTTATATTCACTATTATATATATCACATGGTCTAATCTATAAATATTATATCTATAATGAGTAAGGTTTATATTAATGTAACATTACATTCTATGTATTATAACATTTTCATTAGATATATATTTTGTCCCTCCCAAATAGTTAATATTAAATAGTTAATAAAGCTTAAATAATTAATATTAAGAATAAAAAAATTAAATATTTACTTATCCTTCAAAAACATTTGTAAGATTGTTGTAATTTTGTGATTTTTTAGAAATGAAGAAGTAATATCAAATCATGCATTAAAGGTTAAGTGCGTGTGACTTAAAAAATATTTCTATAATCTTATTACATGATATAAAATATATATATATATATATATAAGTTTATAAATATAAAATAATATTATAAATAATAAATATTAAAATTTAACTAAAAATAATTCTAAATTGTACCTAGGTTTTAATGGATTTATAGAAGAGATTGCTTGTAATTATTTAAAATCTGAGTCTAAAATTTTTAAATTACCATAACTTCTATATTTTTTAATTAATAAAATATTATTATTATGAAACAATAACTAACCATCCATGTATCCAATGATTTAACATCTTCACTAGCTTCATCAATCATTTTTTAAATCAAATATAAAAAAGTAATTACAATTATACTTCTTTCAATATTATATCAATCCAAAAATGTAATCTAATGACTAAAAAACAAATCAAAAGCAAAATAATGATACATAAATTTTAAAAAACATAACTTGCTAAGATTTCACTCAAATCTTTGAGTACCTAAGAAATCACACCGGTACGAAAAACATTGGGCTTGATAAAATTGTATTATTGTTAAATAATCAAAGAGGTTATATAATAATAACAAGTGTATTTCATGATAAAATACTAACAAAATGATAAGAGGAAAACGACAATCAATGATTAGTATAAATTAAATATTTAAGAATCCTGTTTCATGAATCTTTCTATTTCTGTAAAATATTTTTTTGTAAATTTATATTTATTGTTATTACATTTTAAAATTTAGTATTTTTTTGTTATTTTGTTTTTAAAGTTATTGCCTGTATAAAAATGAAATCTAACACATTTGAAATTATTCATTTTGTTTTAATTTTTTTTTTGTCAAATTTTGTGCATGGACAATATGAATATAGTCCAGAACTTTATAATATTGAAGGTAAAGTTATGGTACCAAATATGACGACATCTTGGTTGGCAGAAACCATTGTTCATTTAAAAGGAGGTGAAGCTATTGGATTTTTAAGGTAACAAAATGTTTACTTTTCTTGTCATATTAAAAAGCACGTTTAAACTAGTGTAATTAAGGAAAATGACTGGATATATCTCCAAATAAAAATAATTAATCATAAAAGAACAAGTTTATTTTTGATTTGATAGGGTAGTTAGAAAAATTTCTCATGTGTACCTAACCAAACAGAGCCCCAATTAACTCTCTATATTTGATGATTATAAAGATATAAAATACACTAGCAATTATTAACAAATTTTTCAATTAACATAAGTATATTTTCATTATGTTACAGTTTATTTTTATGAGTTGAAATTTTTTTAAGTAATATATCTAGTGGCACTAGAGGAGTGAATAGAGTTAAAACCAGTTAAAGATCATGAAATAGTTAACTATTCTTAAAATTATGCATTAAAATTTTATAAACTTTGTGATAACCTCTCTTGAAAAAAATTCTAGTCGTGTTATTGAGTATAATATAATTTCATTTCAGTTATTTGACTAATGTATTTGTTGTATAATTTAAATTTGTTAACTATATTATATATTTTTTTTTAGAAAAAATGGATCATTTGTGATATCTAAAGTTCCATCGGGATCATATATTGTCGAAGTTATAAATCCTAACTACATATATGAACCAATAAGAGTTGAAATTAATTCTAAAGGTAAATACCGAGCACGCAAAGTTAATTATATTCAGTCTTCACATGTCCATCAAGTGTCGTATCCATTAGAATTTATTAACTACATGCCTGCAAAATATTTTTACACTAGAGAGCAATGGAAAATTACTGATTTTCTCTTTAATTCTATGGTATGTATATTATTTACTTATACTTTGTAACTTTTTATTCAAGAAGTTTTCACAGTTTAAATATTATCATTTATTGCATAGGTTTTAACCATGGTATTACCTCTTCTTGCTATTTTGGTTTTGCCCAAATTAATGAATGATCCAGAAACAAAAAAAGTATGAATTGGTTCTTTCCATTTAATTTTAATTTATTTAAAATTTATTTATTCATTTTTTCACAGGAGATGGAGCAATTAACTAATTTAAAACATGAAATGCCAGAAATGTCTGAAATGATCACAACTTTTTTTACTGGAAATCCGCCAACAACTAATGATAAACAAAAAGAAAAATCAAAAGCAATTAAGAGTTCAAAAAATCAAATAAAAACAACTAGAAATAAGTAATATTTGTAAATTAACCCTTTATTAAGGGGTACATTGTACATTTATAATTTAAGGTATAAATAGTTTCAGGTTCTTTTTCTATACATAAATGTAATAATTTGACATATTATATACAAATTAAAAATTGATACATTCATAAGTATAATTATTATTATTTTTCTACTCATAGAACCCTATAATGATAAAAATCCATGACCATTTGACACATATTAAAATTTGCAGCCAATGATACAATATACACAATAAACAATAGTATAAATGGTATAAGCAGAATTTGAGTTCCTTTAATAATTGGCAAACCTAAAAATATAATTTTTTTTTTAATGAAATATTTCTTAAATGTTTTTTTAAGATAATATATTGGATTTTATTGTAAATTAACAAGTAGTTAATGAATATGTTGAAAAGGACATAAAAATTGAAGTTAAACTTGTTAAGAATAAGATTTTTATCTAGAGGATTAGTTAATGCTATTTAAATAAAAAAATATGACTTAAATGAAATTATCAATTTTAATTTTTAATACTTACAACTGTATCCCAAAAATGAAATATATAAATAATAGCCAATAGCTATAACCCATAGTGAATTACCAATAAAAATTGGTAAAAACCAATCATGTCTCAAAAATACTAAAAAAATTAAAGCAATTTTTAAATTATAGTTGTAACAGTTAAAATATAATTGGTAAATAAGTAAAAAAGAAAAAATAACAATAATTTAATCTAATATTATTATATGATAGCGTTATACATTTTTTGGTAATAGAAGTGCAGAATGATTCTTTCCCTTATTGTAATTTTCAAGACTAGCATTATATACAAATGTATTATCAAGAGAGTATTGAATGAATTATTAGAAATAAAAAAAATGTAATTAAATAATTGATGTGTTAAAAATATAAAGTTACAAAATTACAAAACAATTAATATCATAGAAATAATTATTTTACTGTCCTGCAAAATTAGTAAAACTGAAATAGTTATTATTGTTTTTTAAGAGACAAAATGAAATTGTACCTGCCTCCAAAATGTAGTAACTTTTTATTATTTTAATATATGTCATTCATAAAATTTTACTTAAAATTAGATATACAGAAAAACTTCAATATTTAAAATAATTTTTTAGTAAAATTTTTAGAACAATATAAATTATATCATAACATGAAAGGTTTTTTGAAATATAATAGATGTCGAAAAAGTATGAGATGAATAGAAAAATCATTTTTGGCATTAACCAAAAATACTTTAATTCATATTTCTCTCTATAGTTTCTAATAACTTAATTATTCAAAAATTAACTGTTTAAATACTCTAGTTAATAATTATTTATACTTTATAACATAAGTTACTGTTAAAATGGTTTTATTTTTATATGTAAACAATAAATTTGTTTAATAAATAAAATATTTTGGGTTACATAAATGTTTATTACATTAAAGAATAAATCTACATACTATGATAAAAAAATAACTGGAAGATATGAGAGACAACCAACATTGGTACAAATGCATTTAAGTGTACATCAAATGCATAAGCCCACTCAACATCTTGTCCTTTGTAATTAGATTTTATTAAATATTTGTTAGTTATGAACCTAAAAATAAATAGAAATTAATAACATATAAAAATATTATTTTTCTATAAAAATAATAAAAAATTTATTGTTTTAAATTTAATTTGAAAAAAAATATATATTTCTTAATCAAAACTTGAAATATAGACTTCAAAATCATATTACAAAATTTTAAGGCTCAGCATAATTTTTAAAATTGTTATATATATAGAATACATAGTTAATAATGCTACTTGAAGTGTCTTTGAAAATACTAAAGCTTATCAATATTATATTTTTAACAATTAAATTTAAAGAATTCTTTGTTAAACTTCCTTAAAAAAAAAATAATTTTTTGCTCCCATCCTTTATACCCCAAACATTTATCAACTTTGATTTTCAAACAGCCTAATTTCTTTTTTTTGGATCATCAAATTTATTCAATTGAACAATATTCTTTTTTGTTTAAAATTTTTTTTTTATATTATCCAATTTTCAATTATTTACAGCTGTTTAAAGTTTAATGGTGATTAAAAAAAGTGTAATTATTTTTACAAGATGTTAATATTATCACGTCTTAAATCGATTATAAATGCTATCGGTTCATAAAAATACAATGAAGTATAAATGTATGTTCATTGTATTACTAGAGTAAAGTAACAAGATAGACTTGCACTATCGGTTTTTATAAGCACCAATAGCGCTTATTGATTTATAATATTTGCGCCTATACATAAAATACTCAAAATTTATTGAAAATTTAAATAAAAAAATGTTCCAACAAAAAACTTTTTTACTCAATCAAACCTCTAATGATTAAAAAGAAATAAATTTTACTTTTCTCAATAAAAAAATGAAAATATTTTATGTAACAAAGTTAAAGAATCACTTAGTATATGTCATTATAATTAATTTTTCATATGTTAAAATATGAATATCATTGCTTTAATTTACCATAATAATGTACTGATACAAACACCAGATAACATACAATCAACAACAACAATGTATAAAAAGAATTTAAAAAATGCAGCAATTCCAAGTTTCAGTACAAATGTAAATGCTATTGAAGAAACTAAAAAGAAAAATAATTATAGTTAAATTTTAATAAAAACATTAATCTAAAATTATTATTATTGTAATTATCATTATAATTATGCTAAATAATTTACTACAAAGTAATCCACTCAAAAGTACTAGAAATGCAGGATCATCACGTGCAAACTGTGATTTTGTTTCTAGAAAAATGATAAATATCAGTAAAACGCTAAAAAAACAATAAAATTATATATACCTTTTCTGTGTTGAAAATTTCGATATACTTTTTGAGGGTTGATAAATAGAAAAGTCATTTGCCAAAGAGCAAATTCAAAATCCATTTGTTCAAAATTTAACAATTTCCTTAAATAACGGTATCGTTTTACAGCTGCAGTCATACATGTTCTTAAAGAAAAAAATGTTTTTTATATGAATAATCAAAAATATTTATTATAGTATAAGACTTTACTTTTGAGTTACTGGAGTTGGTAAATAGGACAAAGATGAAGTAGAACGGTATGAATGAACGCTACTTGGCATTGTATAAAAAAACTTAAACCATTAAAAAATTAAGTTTCTACACAATTTAGGTATATTAATAATTTTGACTGACAACATTTATAAAAAAAAAAATAAAAGAACATGCATCGATTACAATAAACCTAATTATAAGTTATTAATTTTGAAATAAAAGACTCAAATATTTAGTTTTCTTTAAATATTAGTGATCATGATAAGATAACAAGTTTATTTATCATGATAATGATTATTGATAACTTACCAATGATTGTCAACAGAATAGATAATATATAGCACCTCAAAAAAATTTACTGCTCAACGCCTATGCTTGGTTTGAAACCCCCTATCCATGAAAATTGATTACAATTACGGCCTTTAAAGTTATAAAATCATTCTCTAATTTAAGTCTAGATAATAAATCTGTTAAGAGAGTCTTTCAAATACATTTTTCTGTCTCCATCCTTTCTTCTTACCAAAAAATTTTTTTTACACATGAATATCAGATTATAATGTAAAACAGGACATAGCGAGTTTTTTTTATCTATTAGTTGGATGTTAAGAGGTTTTTATTTTAGGAGCTAAATTAATAACAGAATTTTAGGTATGCAAATGTATACTCCAGGACCTCTCTGCTTTCAAATTTCGCTAAATATCACCTCATTATCAATGAAAATTACTATTGCAATATTTGATTTATCACTAATTAGTGCTATTTTTTCATTAAAATAAAATATGACACAAATAAATATAAAATATATTGAACTACTCTTCTGAAATCATTATTTTATAACAATTTTTTTTTCAATTTATTTCAATAAATGTTTAAAGTCGGTTTGTATTGCTATGTTGAGATGTTCAGTAAATGACTTTTTACTCATCAATTCAATTATCTGAAACAAATTTAATCATATAAAACATTAGAGGTTGACCACATTATAAATTCTTAGATTTAATTTAATTATACAAAGTGTTCAGTAAGTATTGAAATAGGTCTTCTTCTTCCTCACCTTAATCCCTACTACTTGGGGTCGGCCACCCTTATCCTAAACTACCACTTGACACGATCTCCCACATAATCTACGCTCACATCAGCTGTCCTCAAATCGCATTCAATAGCATCTCTCCATTTCTTTTTTAGTCTTCTTCTACCTCTTCTTCCTTAAACATTCATTTCTATAACTGTTCTTACAGCTCCCGATTGTTTTCTCCTCATAACATGACCAAACCATCTAAGTCTAATTTTTCTCATCTTATCCATGATTGACGCTACACCTATACTCCCTCTTATATGCTCGTTCCTTATTCTGTCTTTTCTAGTCACTTCACTCATCCATCTAAGCATTCTCATCTCTGCTACACTCATTCTCTGCTCTACTTTCTTATAAACCACCCAACACTCTAAACCATACATCATAGCTGGTCTCACTACAGTCTTGTAGAATTTACCTTTCAGCCTCATTGGAATTATTATGTCGCATAAGACGCTTCTCTCTACTTCAACCACCCGCACTTAATCCAGTGTCTTACATCCTCGTCAATACCACAACTCTTTTGCACAATTGATCCTAAATACTTAAAACTCTCCGCCTCTCCAATCACGTCCTCGCCCATTGTCACTGGCCTCCTTATTTCACCTATCTCGTGTTCTCCTTTATCAAACTCGTACTCTATATACTCTGTCTTACTTCTACTTATTTTTAAACCCTTTCCTTCAAGAACTGATCTCCACACCTCTAGCCTTTGATTAATTTCCTCCCTGTTTTCTCTTATTAACACTATATCGTCAGCAAACAACATGTACCACAGCACTTCTCCTTGTATTTCTCTAGTAATTTCATCCATCACTTTAGAGAATAAGTAAGGGCTTAAAGCAGAACCTTGGTGCAATCCTACTCTTACCCGAAAACACTCTGATACTCCTTCTACGCTTTTTACCCTGGTACATTTGCCATCATATGTATCATCTATTATATTAATGTACCTTTTCAGGACTCCTTTTCTCATTAATGACCATTTTAAAACCTCTCCTGGTACTTTATTATATGCTTTCTCCAAATCTATAAATACCATACACAGGTTTTTCTGCTTTTCCCTAAACTTTTCTATTAGTTGCCTCACAAAAAATAATGGCTCCATTGTTGACTTACCAGGCATATATCCAAACTGGTATTTAGATACCGATATCTCATTTCTTATTCTGTTATCTATTACCTTTTCCCAAATTTTCATACTATGACTCACAAGCTTTATGCCTCTATAATTTCCACACTCCTGTATGTCGCTTTTACCTTTATTTATTGGTACCACAATACTATTTCTCCATTCATTTGGAATTTTAACTTCTAATAAGATTTTATTTAAAAGTTCCTTCAACCATTTTATGCCAATACCGACTTATATTTTTCATACTTCTACTGGCAATTAATCTGGCCCTACTACTTTATTCTTTTTCATTAATGCCACAGCCTCCCATACTTCTTTCTTACTAATTAAATCTACCAGTCCCTCATTCCACGAGATATCCTCTATTGTCTCTTTTAGGTACTTCTCATTCATTAATTTTTCAAAATATTCTTTCCACCTTTTTTTCACATCATTATCATTTGAGAGTACCTTATTATAAACACTTTTTATACACCTAATATAATGATAATCTTTAGACCTTTTCTTTCTTATCTTTGCAAGTTTATAGATTTCTTTCTCGCCTTCCTTTGTTCCTAGCCTATCATACAACTCATCATACCTCTTAAACTTCGCCTTACTTACTGCACACTTGGCTTCTTTGCACAAGCGTTTATACTCCATGTAGTCTTCTCTCCTTTTACTCTTCTGCCATAATTTGAATTGCTTTTTCTTACTTTCTATGATTTTTTGAACGTCCTCATACCACCACCAGGTTTCCTTGTTTCCTGGCATTCTACTCCTACTCTCACCAACAATCTCCTTTGCAGTATTTTTTAAACAACTAGCAAATCTATTCCACACATCATGTATGTCTCCCTCAACATTCCACACCGTCCTCTCTTTTACCATCTTTACAAACTCTTTTTCATTTTACCCTTTCAATTTCCATCACCGGATCTTCGATTTTTCCCCTGTGTTTCTATTATTTTTGTTTATTCTCTTTCCGGTACATCACAACTCCATTATCATCAGTCTATGTTGTGTAGTTACACTCACGCCTGGTATAACTTAACAATTTTTTACTCGCTTTACGCTCTCTCTCTCTTCCACATAAAATAATCGATCTGTGATCTATTCCTCCTACTTTTATATGTTATATAATGTTCTTCCCTCTTTCTAAAATAAGTATTAACCATAGCAAAATTATACGATACTGCGAAATCCAGGATTCTTTCTCCAGTCTCATTCTTCCAACTATAACCATACCTTCCATGTACTCTTTCATATCATCTCCTCTCATTACCTACATGTCCATTCATATCTACACCTATCACCACATCCTCATTACCAGATAACTCTTGTATCACCTCATCCATCTCTCTCCAAAATACTGCCTTGTCTATTTCATCACATCCCATTTGTGGTGCATAGGCACTTATTACACTCAGCACTTTTTCTTCGAATATCAATTTTACAACCATAATTCTGTCACTTTTCCTAGCTACTTCTACTACTTTACTTTTAATTTCCTCATCCAATATTATCCCTACACGGTGTAGGGATAATATACAAAGAATGGCGTAAGCTACATCATTCTTTGTACTAGACTTACCTGAGTATATTATATTATAACCCTCGATTTCTCTCCTCTCCACTTAGTTTCTTGCACACAACAAATGTTAACTTTTCTCCTTTTCAATACTTCTACTATTCCCCATTTCTACCAGTTAATGTTCTAACATTCCAAGTACCTATTCTTACTTTGTATCTATCTTTCTCCCTTATACACGAGTCCAGCTAAGAATTAAGTGGTGATATCCCTACACCGTTGACACTACAAGCGTTGGGTACACCTGTACACATGACTGGTGAAACAGCTACCGCACAAGTTGTCCGGCTTGTATCAAACACTTTATTCCTTAGGCCTTCTCCGTTTTTAACTACTTTTTGGTGTCCCCGCGTACAACAAGTCAATTTTTATTAACATTAAAAACAATATAAGCCCGTTTCTTTACTTACTGAACATTTTATATTTACAGAATGATTTTTTTATCATAACCCACTCAATTACTTACAGAATAAATATAATTTAAACATTTTTTTTTTTTGTTATCTTTAGTTACACATTATTCTTGAATTATAACCTATGTAATACTTTTTAAGTTCATCCCTTATGCCTTGTAAGCAGGACTGGATTTAGGACTAGGCTAACTAGGCTATAGCCTAGGGGCACCACAACTTAAAGGGGCGCTGCGGCCGACAAAACTCTTGATTTTTTTTTAGATATAATTCCTTTCTGCAAATTTAATTTTCCATCTACTAGAATTAGTGTAGTTATTTTGGTAAATATATGTATATATATAATATTTTGGGCAGGGTAGCTACGGCACGACGGTATACATTATCTAAAATAATAATCGGCGAAGGCGGTCGTATAAATTGTGTTGAGCAACCTAATCAAGGAAACGCCAAACGTATTATTAATTAATGTTTCTTATTTTTTATAACGGTGCAAATTTTTGTTGTTTACATTAATAAGTTGACAATTGTATTTACTAAATTAACCGTTTATTAACAGAATAAAATTTTAATTATTATTTTTTATTATTATTCATTAATTATAATTTATGCACGATTGATTTTTTTATCATCATAATTTAAACTACAAAATTTCAATACATAATACATTTTTTTACGTTGACTTTTAAATATTTTTAAAGTAATTATACATTATACATTAGAAAATACAAATTTTTTTGTAAATTGGGAGGAAGTGATCAGCTCAGCTCTCATTCTATCTGTGTTCTAAGAAGTGGGCGTTTGTTCCTTATTAGCCTAGGGGCGCTTTTTGGGTAAATACGGCCTTGCTTGTAAGGATGTCAACTTTGTTTTTTAAATGGGAACACATATTTTGAATTTAATAAAATATTTGAGTTTTTAATTTAATAGTAAATGGCATTTGAATTTATAATATATCTTTATTTGTTTATTAGATATAAATATTTAAAGTTTCAAATCTTTGAGTTAATATATATGTATAAAACACAAGGGATTACAAATACAGGTAGTTAATTGGTTTTTTTAGTATCAATATTCACATTGTTGTGAGTTTAATAACTGACTATATAAAAAGTATATCTATTGATAGTCTTAATTGTTAATAAACAATCCGTGACTGTAATAGCAATGTCATAAAAAACCAATATAATTTCATATTAAAAGGTTGAATATTTTTAGGCCGTGGAGTTTAATTCATCCTGTGTTTTTTTAAACGCTCCCGCCTTACCATTAGAAGATGGCGATAATTTAGACTTGAAAACAGCTCATACTAGCTTATATAGCCAAACAGAGGAATGTCATCCAGAAAGATTATCTTTACATACCATTGAAGAAATAAATTGTCCAGAAATCTGTGAGAAATATTAATAGACTATAATAATATATTTAAAGATCTATTTAACTTTAACAAATAGTTTAAAAAATTTAATTAAATTATTACTTCAACAATTTAGGAGAACTTATAAAAAAGTTTAACGAGTTATTTTATGATTAAAGTTTAAATTTGTTAACAAATTTATAAAAGCACTGGCTTGAAAAAGACACTGGGTTATGGAGATCAATGTGATAAGAAGGAGACACTTTTAAATATTCAAGATGTTGACTTATAGGCCGTTATTAACAAGAGCAACATAAGGAACAAAACTAATTCGGTCTTGAGAAATTAACATAGTTATTCAAACCACAATTTTGTTTTAGAAAAGACTTCATCTGGTCCTTACAATATGTACCGTAAATTTCCTTTTAAGGATATGTCTGTTGCTGTGTTCAAAAGAACACCATCTCCAAAAGTCTGTAAGTAAAATATTTTACTTGTTATAGTTTAACATGTTTAAATTTAGCTTGTGTACTTACATAAATAGTATTTTCCTAAATAAATATACTATTTTACTACAATTTTAAAGATCTTACAAATTTTTTTATCGAATTCCAATAAAGCTGCTCATTGCTTAATTTAAAAATTAGAAAACTTTAAGCAAAAATTTTTGACTACAAAGCTACTCATTTTTTATTTAAAAAATATTCAACATTTTAGATAAACTTATTGAAAGTTTGACAATTACTTCTATGATGTAAATTCAGCACAGAAATAAAAAAAAAATTTGGTTTTTAATATCAGTTAGATGAAACGTTATTAGTATAGACGTCTAATATATATAAATCTAGTTCTACTAACAATTTCGTTAAAAACATATTTTTTACAAAGATGAAAGGCATACCTTTTATAAAACTCAGTAAGTACAATTTTCAAAGTTTTCATTTGTGAATTTTGATTTAAGTCATTTATAATTTCAAACTTCCATTATTTTAATTTAGAAAAACTTTATTATATTTGGCGATATTGCCTAGATACGAAGTAATAAAAATTATGGTACACCAACAGTTACAATTTTCATTTGTTTATCAAGATTATAATGTATTCAAAATACACTACTTTGGTTTTCAATTAGTTAAAAAATATCAAATTTCAACAAAAACGTCAATAAAATAATGTGCGCGTATTACAAATCAAAATATTTGATAAATTGTTTAAATTTTAATATTATAAATAGAAAATTATGTTAAGGAAAAAATATAGAAAATTATATTTTCTAGAAATAATTTTTGTTTTATTTTCGAAGATATTAGTATACTAATATCTTCGAAAATAAAAAAAAAATGATTATGTTAAGATTATAAATTTTAACCGTTTAAAACCAATTATTATTATGTTTTTAAATTTATAAATATGTTGTATCTCATTATTATGAGGTTGTTTTAAAACTTATACAGTTTAATGATTATTTTACATAAATATAATTTTATATTGCTTATTAAAAAAAAATGTTTTTTCAAATTGGTATCCTATTGTAATAATAATACAATATTACAAAAATGTTATATGACCATAAAATTATATTATAATATTACAGCAATTTGAGGGAAATATAATAAAAACTTAAACCAATATTATTTTTAAATGTTAAATAATAAATGTAATATTTTTATTTGTTTATTGATACAACATTATTTCGGTGGCCAAATAAATATAGAGTAATATTTTCATAATGTTTCTGTAATCAAAATTAATAACCTCTTAAAATTAAACTAATGTTATTATTATAAAATTTATTTTATAACAAAATTACTTAAACATTAAATTGCTGTGTGGGTATTCTATTACAAAACAGGAGAATTACTGTCTAGAAATAAGAATAAATAGACCTTCAGTATTTATATTAAAGACTTAATAACTTCCGATATAGTGGAACAAATTTATTATCAACCATTCATTTTCTTAAAAAAATTATTTTTTAATTTGTTGTGTTAAACTTACATATACAATAACTTACATTTAACAAAAAATTTCAACAATTATGTTTAGCTTCAATGGGAAGCTGAGAAGGTATTGCTTTTACTAAGATGTGTTTTTTTTTTGTGTATGTTACCACTTTTTCTCAGCTCTCACCGAACCGATTTCTTTCAATGATACGTCAAAAGATCACAAATCGTATCTAGTCGAAGAAATTATCCTCAAAAATTGAAAAAAATTCCCTCGTTCCCCGTAAATGGGGAAAACCTCCAGAAAAATTACAAATGTTAAAATCGCTAATTTTCGAAATTTTTTTTACTTAAAATTGCGATTAAACTTTTTTAAAATTAACCAAATCAATATAATTTTTTTTTGTATAGATGCATGATATCATTACCTTTCATTTGGTATATTTTTTTTTATATCTGACCCTTTATCTGCCCACAAAGTGGGATTTAAAATGACAACAGGGGGGATTCATAACATAAAAATGCATATAGAAAGTAGAACTTTTTCAACGTAACTTTTGAAAGTGTTCCGGAAAGTCTGAAACTTTTATATATATCCTAAATTAAAGCTAATGTAATGTACTTTATTACGGAAAAAAAAAATTTCGGACTTTATTTTGTCTTCACGGTGAAAATGGCTACTGAATGCTATTTTTGTGTGAAAATTCTCGATTTTATTTTTTACATTTTTAACTTTATAATGCTATAACTTATTGAAAAGTGTATGGATCAACACAATTTTTTCATGAGAAATAATATTTTTTAATAATCTCTTTATCATTCGACATACTTTATCTTAATCAAGATATTAATAAGGAACTAGCAGATCATGTAGCTTTTGGAATAATCCACCAATTTTTTAAAATTAAACACTATCTAAAGATTTACATCGAAGCGTTTTTTTAGCTTCGATGCGAAGCTGAGAAGGTATTGGTTTTACTAAGATGTGTTTTTTTTTTTTTTTTTGTGTCTGTTACCACTTTTTCTCAGCTCTCACCGAACCGATTTCTTTCAATGATACGTCAAAAGATCACAAATCGTATCTAGTCGAAGACATTACCCTTAAAAATTGAAAAAAATTCCCTCGTTCCCCGTAAAAGGGGGAAACCTCCAAAAAAATTACAAATTTAAAAATCGCTAATTTTCGAAATTTTTTCAATTTTTTTTACTTAAAAGTGCCATAACTTTTTCAAAAATAAACATATCAATATAATTCTTTTTTATATAGATGCATAATATCATTACCTTTCATTTGGTATATTTTTTTCATAAATTTAACCCTTAACCTGCCCACAAGGGGGGATTTAAAATGACAACTTTTTCACAAAAAATTAATTTTTTTAACTTAAATTTTGAAAATGTTCCGGAAGGTCTGACACTTTTATATATATCTTAAATTAAAGCTAATGTAATATGCTTTATCATGAAAAAAAAAAATTTCGGACTTTATCTTATCTTCATGGTGAAAATGGCTACCGAATGCTATTTTTGTGTGAAAATTTTCGATTTTGTATTTTCCATTTTTAACTTTATTATGCTATAACTTTTTGAAAAATGTATGAATCATTACAATTTTTTTATGAGAAGTAGTATTTATATAGATCTTTCATTCGACATACTGTTTTTTTAAATCGGACCATTTCCCTAAATACAGGGGGGATTCAAAACATAAAAATGCATATAGAAAGTAGAACTTTTTCAACTTAACTTTTGAAAGTGTTCCGGAAGGTCTGACACTTTTATATATATCTTAAATTAAAGCTAATGTAATATACTTTATAATGGTAAAAAAAAATTTCGGACTTTATTTTATCTTCATGGTGAAAACAGACATTAAACTTAATAAAAAAAATACGATTTTTGTAAAAAAATTCTTTTTTATATTTTTAACTTTATAATGCTATAACTTCTCGAAAGATGTATGGATCAATATAATTCTTTTTTTTGTAGATGCATGATGTCTTTACCTATCATTTGGTATATTTTTTTTATAAATCTGACTTTTTACCTGCCTACAGGGGGGGATTCAAAATGACAACTTTTTCACAAAAAATTGACTTTTTCAACTTAAATTTTGAAAGTGTTCCGGAAAGTCTGACACTTTTATATATATATTAAATTAAAGCTAATGTAATCTACTTTATTATGTAAAAAAAAAATTTCGGACTTTATTTTGTCTTCACGGTGAAAATGGCTACCAAATGCTATTATTGTGTGAAAATTCTCAATTTTATTTTTTACATTTTTAACTTTATAATGCTATAACTTATTGAAAAGTGTATTGATCAATATAATTTTTTTATGGGAAATACTATTTTTTAATAATCCCTTTTTCATTCGACATACTTTATCTTAATCAGGATATTAATAAGGAACTAGCAGTTTATGAAGCTTTTGGAATAATCCACCAATTTTTTAAAATTAAACACTATCTAAAGATTTGCATCGAAGCGTTTTTTTTTGATAGTGATTTTAATCACTGTCAGATATCATTATACTTGATCCAACTATGCCACGTCACCACTGTGCCGCGACCCCCCTGTGCTGGGTTTTTTTATAGTGATTTTAATCATTTTCAGATATCATTATACTTGGCCAACTATGCTACGTCACCACTTTGCCGCGATCCCCTTGTGCTGGATTTTTTAATATTTATTCATTATACTGGTATCGATTTTATTATTTAAAATTATCACATAAGTAATTAACTAGCTAATAAAATAAAAAATTATTAAATTAAGAAAATTTCTAGTGGATAATAATTATTAAATAATTTGAAATAATTTTTTTTTAGTATTTAATAAGTTAACATTTTTTAATATAGAATGAAGATCGCAGTAAAATAATGATAAATATAACTTCCAAAATAATGAGTCAATAGTTAACTTTTATTCTACATTTTTTTAACTTGCAGTATGTAATATAAGCTTTCCTTAAGACGATTATTAAAGTTCAAAGTATTTGGGTAAATTTTCGAAGGTTTTCTTCAATAAGTAAATTTTTATTCAAGTTACTATTGTTATAATTCAAAAATAAGCAAAAATTAATAAATTAAAATAATGAAGTAATGAGGATTTAGGTTTTTGTATAAGGTGAGAACCTGATGTTGTGGTTCTATCGGGGTTATATGGTTCGAGGGTTTAGAACGACAAAGACAAGTAGATATAAAAATAATAAACACAATACCTCTATTCGAGGTGTAATAAACTTTTGTCTGATTAGTTTCTAATGTCCTAACTAAGAGGCAACGAAACGGCGAAGTCAGTTCACGAATATCTCTGCAACGAGACGGCAGAGCCAGTCCACGAATACCATATAACGTTGGATCAAGTATGATATCTGACAATGATTAAAATCACTATAAAAAAAAAACGCTTCGATGTAAATCTTTAGATAGTTTAATTTTAAAAAATTGGTGGATTATTTCAAAAGCTACATTATCTGCTAGTTCCTTATTAATATCCTGATTAAGATAAAGCATGTCGAATGAAAGAGGGATATAAATATTATTTCTCATAAAAAATTATGTTGATCCATACACTTTTCAATAAGTTATAGCATTATAAAGTTAAAAATGTAAAAAAAAAAATCAAAAATGTTCACACAAAAATAGTATTCGGTAGCCATTTTCACCGTGAAGACAAAATAAAGTCCGAAATCTTTTTTTTCCGTAATAAAGTACATTACGTTAGCTTTAATTTAAGATATTTATAAAAGTGTCAGACAAAAAAAAAACACATAGTAAAACCTATAACTTCTCAGCTTCGCATCGAAGCTAATAGTTCTAATGAAAGCTGTGAATAAGTGGCCACATAAAATAAATTAATAAATAAATATTATACACTTAAGGATTTGTAGTAGTTTAAGATTTAATTTTTTTATGACATTAAAATTTTTTTCTTGATTTAATTCACACAACAGATACCTTTAAATATAATATGAATATTTAATGTTATGCATTACATCCTCATTTAAATTAAAAAACACTTATAGATTTAACCAAACGGATAATTTAGAATCAAGGGTGAAAAGAAAAGTATCAATCAAGGTGTTTATAGTTGTTGCTTTATTAAAAAAAAAATTATTAATCAACATAAACATTTAAGACCTTGGTCTTTCCTTCTTTTCTTTGTAAAGAGCTAGCAATGAAACATTAGCTACTTTGACAACCTTAAATCGTACTCCTAAAAAATATTAATATTTAGCATTAATAGAACATAACAAAAAAGAAACTAAAGCTAGAGGTTGTTTTACGCAAAATATGTTGAATTAATAGTAAGTCAGTAATGAATAGTAATTTTTTTTTTTATTTTTTGAATAATAAATTATCTCATCATTATAAAGTAATAATAAAAAAAAAATTAACCTAGATAATTGAGCGGTACAGATAAAAATACATTATTTTTCAAACTATTTATATAATAAACTGACAAGTGATTTTGGTGATTCCCAGTTTACTACTCTTTTTAAAATACCGCCCTAAAAATTTTAGATTACGTGATAAAATATCTCACCAGGAATATCTCCTACAGCATGACCCTTCCTACCAAAACCAGCAACTAATACTTCATCGTTTTCTTCAATGTAATTTAAACAACCATCTCTGGGTACGAATGCAGTAATTTTTTTCCCATTCTTTATTAATTGTACACGAACACACTTCCGAATAGCAGAGTTAGGTTGCTTAGCTTCAACACCACTAAAAAAAAAAATCACGTCATTATACAATGTATAATAATATAATAAAATTCAATAGTACTGAAATTATTATTATGTTATACTTACACTTTTTCTAAAACAATTCCTTTAGCGTGAGATGCTCCTCCAAAAGGATTGGCTTTCCATCTTGTTCCTAAATGTGCTTTTTTATAATCTTTATCAGCCCACTTTTGTACACGACGATGGTTAACATGTTTACGTGCCGTACGAATACCACGAGGTTTACCTTTTTTATAAATAAAAATTAATATATATCAAAATGCATTATAAATACTAAAAAAAAATTGATGCTTGTGCAGTATTTATATAATACAGAAAAAAGGAATATTTATGTAAAGAAAAATTTATAATAAAAAAAAAAAAATAGATTTTTGGTTATTTTACATAAATGAATTAAGAGATAATCATTTACAAAAGTAAACATCCAAATGTAAGTTAAGAAACTTAATAATGAAAATTATTTATGGGATAATTGATATTAAAGTATTTATACCCTATAAGGACTATTTAATTCTCACTATAAGAATTGAAGTAATGTATTTATTCTTATTATTGTAAACGTAGAAAAATGTCTTAGACTAATGTTTTTTAACTAGTCTAATTACCAAAAACCTAAAATATAGATTAGTTTTTAAAAAATATATTATTATTAAACAATGTAATATTTATTTAGTAGGAAAAATTAAGAGCTGCATCAAGAGTAAATTTTTTTAGCAAGAAATTACCACATGGAAGTGTATGATATAATTGTTAATTTAAACAGAATTACAAATCAAAATATTTAACTTACCCATTATGATGAGAGATAATGACTAACAAAAAATTTAATTAGAGCAAAATACCTTTAAAAAAAAATTGAATTTCTATGCGAAAACTTTTTTAATTTTACGAACTCCAAACAACACGGAAAAATGATCGATTTGGAGATTATAGGTTATGAACGATGCCATGTATTGACGAACAAGGATATAACTACGGTAATATGAATGAATCAACAGTGTGGCCAACGTATATTTTTCTAAGCAGTTATGTTTTAAGCAAAAATGATAGCTTTTAAATTAAAAATTTTGAACTTCAATTGTGATAAAAACAGATTAACGTGTTAGATAATTTTACAATAGTTTTTAATGGATCTTATTTCATTTTTAGGATCCTATTTTTACTGTTGAAGTTATTACGAGTCGTACGTTTTTTACTATTTAACTTTTACCGGTATTAATAATCAAATGCAATAAGTTCATTATACTAGTAAATTAGATGAGATTACTACAAGTATGAGAATTATTAAAATGGATCATCAGCATATTTTAAAATCATCGATACATGAATCTCTTAAAGTTTCGTGTGTAGAATATTCAGTGGAAAAACTAAAAAAAATTGTGAACACTGATTTGTTTGCTCTATTTACTACGTTAACATTAACTGTGTACTCAATCATAATTAATAAAACTTTAATAAGCATTAGTTTTATATTGTATTCATCAGTATTGCTTCTACAACTAGTACGAATTTGTTGTATGATCCATAGTGAGTCATTACTTATAACAGCACCAATTGGACTTCAATTGACTACAACATATGTGACTGGGCGACAAATGGTACTATCATTACCTTGGAATTGTATTAAAGATATATTAATAGTAGATTTAATTCATAGACAACAAGTTTTATTTTACTTGGCTGTTCAAACATCTCAGAACGGTTTGATAATACTATTCCAAAAAAGTAAACCTAGATTACACATACTAGAAATAATTTATAGGGATACACATAAACTGATTGAAAATAATAGAAAGAAGCTATAATAATTTTTATAAGTTAAAGTACTATTTATTTTTCAACATTGTAAAAATTATCATATGTCCATTTTGGAAATACACGCTTATATAAATTCATGCAAACTATATCTTGTGATTTCACTTGTCCATCAAATCCACATTTCATATGACCGTGAGTACCTATAAATGAATATGTTAAAAATGTATATATTTTTATAAAATGAAATAAAATTTTAACAAACAAACCTAATGGTTCTTTTATATGTCCTCTTCTGCCATATTTTGTCCTAAGTTCGACAGGTTTAAACCATTCAATATCTTCTCTATTGAAAAACATAAATCGAACAACAGCCGATCGCTTATGAACTTTAAATGGATGACCACTTAAAACAGTTCTTTTGATTATTAATCTATTAGGATTTATAGATAAAATACTGCCATTTCCAATTACTTGCTAATGTATAGAAATTATGTCAAAATTCAAATAAGATATACCAATTCATTTAATTAAAATTAGTTATATTACTTACATATGAACCATCTTTACAAGGCTTTAAAGCTATGACAGAACAAGGTGGGAAGATTATAGGAGCAAACATAGTAGCAACAACAATATTATCTTGATGAAAAAATCTTTCATACTAAAATTAATTTTTTTATGAAAATCAAGAGTAATACATACATTTTTAATTAGATCATATTACTTTAAATTTATTCCCATTAGTATGTTGGCTAAATATAGGTTCAGCAGTAAATCTACGAAAACCACACTGAAATATTAAACTGGTCTTAGATTTTATTGGTTCCTCAAATTCTACAGAGGTAGGTCTCTTTAATATGACATTTATCACTGACATCTTTTGTTCATGAGGTAATAAACCAAATATTACAACAGGATTTCTACCATCTCTTGAATGAAACATAGTAGCAGGTACATTTTCTATATAAATAGTAATATACCAATCGGGCTGAAAATGATAAATAAAATTAGTATACTAAAAATTCAATAAGACACTCAAAAGAAAGGCAATTATCCCTACTTAAATGAAAAATAATTATTTGTTACTTATTGTATGACAGTGATCATTAATGAATTGCTTGTTACAAAAAACAAATAATTATGAACATACCAATGCACCGTTTTGATTTCCTAAGTTTTTAAAAACTCGTTTCCTAGTTCTATCAAAATTTTCAAATTGAAATATTCTACCATAATCACTGGGTAAGTTTTCCTTGACATCCCAAGGTGAAGTGCGGAATGATTGAAGACCTCTGTACTTTTCAAAACGAACTCTAGCAGGTAAATCAAATGGAGTATCTACTTCATCTGGAAACATTTGATCAGCTTTGGCTTCTAAAACAAATAAGTTATATAATATTTAAATAAATTGAAAATATTAAAATTAATCATCAAATATGTATAATAATTTTCTTGACTAATAATACTCATAAAAAAAAGAAACAAAGAGTATTTTTATTTTATTGATTGATCACAAATACTACCTAAAAACATAAATGACTATTTAACAATATTAATATATATATATATATATATATATTGATACATAAAACTTATTATATGATTGAATAATAGTTTTGTAGTATTTTCAATATAGTATCATTTATTATATAATTTTTTATGGGTGCTATAGTAGTTCACAAAATGAAATAATAGATGATTGAATTGATAAAATTGTACTTATTATATCAATTAAATTATAAGAACTAATGGCTGACATTGAGGAATATATTTTTACTAAAATAGAAAAAATGTGAACCTTTTAATTTAGTTAAAAGTTTTTCTTCTTCTTTTTTATCAAATTGTAAATCATATTTATCAGATTCTATCGGTGCTTCAGAAGCTACAGTAGTAACTGACATTGTATCCATTTCATCATCTAATATACTTTTCATTTCTGTATCTGAATAGTCATCCTTGATTGAAAAAAAGTTATCAGAGTTTTCAGATAAATCAGAATTCATATCATCATCTAAAAAAAAAATAATAAAAATTTAATAATAAACATCATAAACCATATTTTTTATATGATTCTAGTCACCATCAGATTCTTCATCGGGTATCCACGCAGATTGATAAACTGACATTCCTTGAGGCACTCTTTTTATCATACGTTTACTTTTTAATTTATTTTCAACATCTTGTATTTCTTCTTCTGTTGGCCATGTCTGTTCTGCATCCATTGGATCAGGAATATTTTCACTAATTAATGATTCCTAATAAGTTAAACAGCCAATTTTAATAGTAATCGTTTACATCTTTAATCAATATCAATATTCAATATCAAAATATTTATATTTACTTGAACTTTTGGATCAGCGGTTTCTAAAACAGTTGGTTGTATACTTTTTCCAGTAAAACTTTTTACAAAATCATTAGAAGCCAAATCAATTTGTTTCATTTGAAAATCTCCCCAACCAGGTATATGAATTAAGGAATTTACTGAAAGAGATTGACCTCGTAAAAATCCACTTACTTTCATAGTTCCAAAATTATCCTAAGAATTAGAAATAAGTTAATAAATAAAAATTAAATACTTTTAAAATTGTAAAAAGTTTAGCTTCTGTTATACATTAGTCATTTAATATAATATTTACATTAAACTAATTGCAGCCTAGGTATATACACACTAAAATAAAGTAAACAACAATTTATACGAAATTCATTCAATTTTTTGAAAAATTAATTTAAATAAAATAATAAGTGTATTCCAATTCCTTATAGAAATGACTCTATTACTAACCAAGATGTAAATACAACATAACTTCAAAAATCATTTTAATATTAACAAGCTTGGAAATCCTAATGATTAAAATCATGTGTAGTTTAATAATATTTTTAACTTAAAATCTCTTAAAATTAATAATATCATTATTATTTATGATCAGAACATCAAATTAAATTTTGATAAATGGAGGATACTTATCATATAAGTAACCTCAATGTCAAGAATGAAATGTATTTAAAGGTTAAGGTTGGTTATCCTCAGAATGAAAGATATTCACCTAATATTATTGTTAATGTATTTAATTTCCTCTCGGAAAACCTATATTTGTGGTTGAAATGATGAAAAAACAGCATAGCCCACTATTATTATTATTATCCTCTTACACATAGCATTGAGGTAGTAATAATGATTTTAGAAACAAAAGTACAAATAGGGATAGAGCTAATAGACTACACTTTCTCAAAGGTAAAAAAATCTCTTAAATATCGGTAAAATATAAGAATTATTTATCTAACAAAAACAACTCAAATTTTATCTTTTCACAAATAAAATTGATACTCTAAATACTATACATTATTTTTAATAAAATCTAATATTTTAATTTGAAAAATAATTTCAAATAGTAAATAGTAAAAAAGTAAATATTAGCTTCGATGCGAAGCGGAGAAGGTATTAATTTTACTATGATGTGGTTTTTTTTTTTTTTTTTTTTTTTTTTTTTTTT